ATGAATTGTTTCCTACTATCAACCCCAGTCATACACAAGTAAGTAATAAACCACTGCTGTAATCGGCAAATATGGCTCATTTATACATTTATAAACAGAATCCATCCATTTTTCTAGCCTCTTTATCCAGTACAGGGTTGCAGGGGAGCTGGAACCTATCCTGACAAACAGGCACAAGACAGGACAAACCATTTCAAGGCAGACACACAGGCACAAACACACAGAATCACACCAGGGTCAGTTTTCCCAGAAGCCTATTAACCTGCCAGTATGGCTTTAGACTGAGAGGAGACCAGAGCACATGGTGGAAACCTATATTAACACTTGGAGACCATAAAAGCTCCACACAGTTTGTACCTGCAGAAGTGCACCTGCAGCCCCAGTGCTGTGAGGCAGCAATGTTAGCCACTGTGCTGCCCTACAAACATAATTAAAATATAGTTTCAAATATGTACACTGCTCCTGTTTCACCAAATAATCCATAATCTATTCCTAGAATTTAACATTACTTTTCAGTTAAAAGGGTAACCTCTCAAATCTACTTTATGGATGTTACAATGCCACTAACCATGTCACTGGGTTTTCAGAAACCAGTCATTGGGTGACATCTTAATGTAATGATGGCAATAATGTCATTAGTACAAGCCACCTACATTACTTGTAAAACAACTGAAACTGGATATATAAAAGGGTTATAAATGGTAGGTAGCCATTTAAGCCATCTTGCATTCTGCAGCAAAACAGCTATTTGTGCTTTCTGTGACATTTATGAAACAATACATCAGGTTACTGTATATTTTTCCTTGAACCTCTTAGTAGAAATGATGGTAGAGGAAACATGCATACAGTACCTATACAGATTCCAAGACCTTCCTTGTTCTAAGAATGATAGTAACAAATGATACCTATTGTACATTGCTTTGTTGATTGCTACGAAGAAAATAATAATTTACTAAGAAAATAAATTCCATTAATTGGATTTCACCACTTGAAAACAACTTAGAAAGTTCAAAATTGAGGAGGTACATTGGTAAATCATATTTTGTCATCATTGTTTTATTATTATTTCTATTAAGAAGTTTTTTTTTATGCTTTTGTATTACAGTTATTAAGTTAGAATATATATATATATGCTATCATAGATTTAGAGTGATACAGTTTTATTAATCAGTGAAAGTAAATCTTTTACTTAATTTATATTAATTATTTTTCAAATTCTCATGTCAGTTCAGCTAATATAGATATATGAATAGAGAAAAACAAAAACAAACCAAACCTCATAAATATTGCTGGCAACTGAAAAAAGAGTATCTGTCTCACTTTGCTGTACCAGGATAGTATTACAGTGACAGGGTCTAAGACTACCTACTAACTCATTTTCCATTATTGCTAGAACTTTCAGGTCTGCCTCTACAGTACCTTCGTAGAACAAAAAACACCCATTCCACATCAAGAGCTCTAAAACATTCAGTTAAACCCACACATGATACAGAAAAGATTTTGTCCTATAAGTGTTATAATGTGTTTTTAGGTAAAAAATAAAAAATAAGGGAGGTCTCACTTTCACCTGTTTTTAAAGCACTAAACTGCAAATGTTCACTAATTCTGGGTCACACACAGCAAGAAAAGCAATCATGTTTACACACAGTGGAAAACAGAGTGCCTTGTCTTCAGTATCCTCAGGGACCACTGCTGTGGTTATCCGAGCTGTGGGTCTCAGCTCCTTGACAACAGTGCTAGAAGCTATTTGAATGAAACATGGAGTCTTTCCATGTCAGATCAGCCAAAGGGAAAAAAACAAGGTACGTTTGCTGGATTTTGCTATGAAGGACAATGCAAACAAAGACAGTACTTTGAGGGTATCCTTATCTTGCTACTAACTAATGACAGAGTGAATTGTGTTATACCACCATTGCAATTATATACTATACCATATAGGAATATGTGTATTGAATTGAGCTGAAGTTTTTTTTTATTCTCCAAAAATATCTTTAACAGAATGACTCACTGACCTTAAACACTGTGTATAGCTGTCATGTTAGGTTATTTTGTCAATGTGATATTGCCTAAGGTTGTGTGTCTTTGGCAATGAAAAATATATACTGTAATACGCATTCTAAAACAACACGATTCAAGATAATCCTGTATGTATCACATACAAATAGCTGATAAGGATATCAGCAGTTACCTTTAATTTAAGTAGCCACAATACTTTCATGCTGGAGCACTTTAAATTCTAAGATTTGATTTTTGATTTGATTTCCATTCTCAGCTTTTTCATACTATTTCTTATCGACCTCTTATAAGATTACTGAGGCAGTGTATGAAGAAAAATGATATCAATTTTAATATGTAGGTTTGAAGAAATAAAATCTAATTTATAAACCCTAATAATTAGAATAATTGTGACATTCACAGATAATTGTACAATGTACAAAAACAATTACATAGGTATTTAAGTGCATTAAAATGAAATATATTTTTCAGTAGTTCAGGGAAAAAGAGGTGGAGAACATGTTCTGTAATGATACTCAAATATTTATATAAACATGCATTGCAGTTTGGGATACGAGTGAATACCTGTAATGTGTTTCAGATAAAGATGTAGTATACTAAATTAAAAATAACTACATTGATAAACATGCTCAAGTTAATTGCAAAAAAATATAAGTATTATATTTTTCTAAATGATATTAGTAATTAAGACAATTTGACATGTGGCAAATTACCATCATTAAAATTGTAATCCTCTGCTTTTTATTCTCCTTTTTTGCAACCTTTGAGTGAATGATCTACAGCAGATGAATTAGATGAACAATTTGCCAATGGCTGGTTTGCATGGAAAAAGGATTTATTTTTAGACACCACAAATTAATTCCAAATTTTTAGTGGCTGATATTCAGTTACTGTTTTAAACTGATACAAATATTATACTTATAGGTGTTATTACTGTCTCTTTAAAATATTTTTTGGGTAACTTCCAGCTATCCTGCCTAAGATTTTAGCTATAGCAGTGCTACAAGCTACAGTATTACAGTTTTCTTTCTTGGAAGGAGAAAAATTTTCATTTTAGCATTGCAAAACAAGCTTGGTAGCGCATACTCTTTAAGTTCCCCATTTTGCCTCTAACCTAATATTATTTCATTTAATTTAAATTTATTTTTAATTGAATAAAACATGCAGAGTGTAAAATCAAGGCAGGCGTAACAATGAAGTCACTAATTAAACACAGATTATCACTCACAGTTCATTTTCTTTTACATGGACAACAAACTGCATCAGAGTAGAATTCACTCCCACAAATCTCTCTCTTCCCTTTATTTAAACAGATGAAATATGTGGATTATGAGGATATTCATCAATTAACATATTCTTTACTCCACAGTGGAAAAATACTTGAAGATGAAACTAAGAAACCAAAATGAGCTTCCTCCAATATTTTCCATTTCCTAGCCTTTTATTTTTAAGTCTATATCATCTTGCTTTACTGAGTGCCAGTATGCAAAAGTCTTATAAGAACTCTGGACTGTTTTCTCAATGCTAAAAATATCATCATAAATTTCAGTCATTGTCATCAAAAAGCTGCACTAGATTGAATGCTCTCTTCTTTAAAGCTTGAGTCTCCAATATAGTGTAACGCATACGGCCGACATTAGAGGTTGCGCTGGCCGGCGTACCAGCGTGGTGACATCACCGCCCTTCCCTGTGAATAGCAGGGACCGCAGCCGTCGGGCTGTGGGGAGATATCCCTTTAGCTCAGCTGGCTGGGTTCCTGTTGAGTGACGCCGGAGGCCCGGGTTCGAGTCCCCAGCGGCGAGGGCGCACACCCACGTGAACCAGAGAGCGCTACAATTGATTTCTTGAAAGCTACATTTATACTCACCTCTGCATAAACCTCAGATTAAAGCAGCTCCTCATAGAAACTCTCTCAGAAATTGACAAATGATTAAAACCTACTGTATCTAACAATCTTTAGATTATTTACAACTGATGAATGGTTTAAACAATAACACCAGGAACTACAGGGCATTTATTATTTGGAGCCTACGCACGCTGACGCAGCTACCCACCTGGACTATTTCTTATTTACGTTGAGTTTCCTCTTTATGGAGCCAAAAACTGTACAGATGTTTTGAATGGCACACATCTTGAATCCGCACAATGGACGTTTTGGTACCTACAGTAGAACACTGGATCAGTAGGGCAAAGCCAAGTTACATACATTGATGTCCACTTAGGAAAAACATCAGTCCATTTTTATTAACTTATTAGGACATCGTTCCTGTATGACCAATGTTCCAAAAGGCTAGTTCACACAGCACTTTCCCGATCTTAAATCGAAGAGTGTTTTCCTACTTTGATTTATACCGACCATACTGCGACGACTAATTAAAACGTCTGCGATATAGAAAATCAACTTGGATTTAAAAAAACATTTTACGTGAGATATAGTATTACATCGATCGAAATACTTAGTAATTGAATAATACTTGAAACTCTATGCAGATCAGACGCTCCTGCATTTTGTTATTGATGCAAATTATTTGAGCTAAGCTCTTCTGTAGTATTTGCTATTGTAAAGTCCATTAATGTAGTTTTAATTTTGCAAGTACTGTCTCAAGGCAAGGTTACACACGAACATCTGAGTTGCCAAAGGAAAGGAAGGCTTCACCTCTGCTTATTGTAAACGTACTAGTGGCTGGTTAAATGCAGTTTTATCCATCTGTTGTTGTTTTTCCACAACCTTCTGACATTCAGATAGACTGCAAATGAGCCACAACTGTTTAACCCTTCTCCCTCTAATCTGTGAAAAATAAAGACAGCGTTGTGCTAAATCATTTTATCTTCCTCCTCTCCTCTAGATGTCTCTGCAGTATAGGCGTTTGAGAGCTCTTAATGACGCCTCTCCTGGAACTCTACTCGTTGTTATTAAATGCTCGGGACACTCTAAGCCCCGCAAATATCCTTGCCTTTTCTACTTCCTCGTTTCTGAGCAACTAACCAGCGACTCCTACCTGAGATACACCTGGACACCTCAGTGTGGCCACCACTCACTGCGCATGCTCGACTCTCTCAGGGGACAGCACTGTCATGGCGGAGACGAGCTACAGCAGGACGTGAATCAGGAAGAGATGGTGCTGAAGACGGGTTAACGCTGATAGTTAAACTAGTCTGTTGGCATTTACGGACAATCCCGCGATTGCTTATCCTCTGACCGGCATTGTGGGAGGGTGCGGTTGGACTTGCGCCTAATCTCAGTTCCGTAGTTTTGCACCTACCCGTGCGCTTGTTTTACCTGTCTTGGGTCTTGTAATAATATACTGCTGTTGCAAAAGAAAGTCACCGAGTTTTCTAATTTGATGTGCTTTCTTCAAGAAAAAAAAACCTAACGATGAGAAAATATTAAGGTTGCCTACAAAGGAAACCAAATCGAAACGTTTCTCTTTGCTGGATTACTAAATTAAAGCAAGAGGATACAGTTTTTTCATCTCTGCGGGCTCTTAAGTTTCACCTGCTGTTGAGCAGTTGCTCAAAGGCTGGCAGTAACTCGTATGTCACAGTGTCAGACTTAACTCTACAGTAGCGCATCTGCTGTACTAACTTCACAGGGGAATGCACAACATCTATACGCGAGTGAAATTTGCGTTTGATGAAGAGGAAACGAAAACGGGCTCTTGTGCATTTGTTTAGAGAGTAAAGCATAATCTACGTAGAGGGATTTTACAGTTACCGCACATCTATTTGAGCTCTGCGGTTCCACGCCCTAGTCTTAACAGGTATCTCACCTGTTGAAGCTACTTCTCCTTCGTTCGCGATGGCTAGCGAGGAGAAACCGGCTGCTGGACTGCCTGCGGGGGATACGGGTGGCAAAGACGAAGGAGCGGCCACCATGCCGCTGAACCCCGGCATCCCAATTCGGGGGATCAAAATGAAATTTGCCGTGCTTTCTGGCCTGGTGGAAGTTGGAGAAGTCTCAAACCGGGACATCGTGGAGACAGTCTTCAATCTGGTAAGCTGATTACTGTAAATAGGCCTTACTACTGTTAGGGTAAGATTGCTTTTCGCAATAGCTTCTTTTTAACCACGTTGAATATACAGTATGTTACACTGGTATTGTTTTTGTGTTTCTAATCCGTTGCAAAGCATGATATCATAGACTCAAAATTAATTTTAAGTAAAGTTTGGAAGTTAGTTGGCTATCCCAGCATTACATTTCATTCAAATGAAAAAAAAAACAAACATTTTTGACAGTGTTTTTTTTAATGAAAACCTGCAATCTCATACTTAAAAGTTTGTTTTAAAAGTTGGATTTTTAATCCCATCTCACTTATATCCCTTATTTAGATCAGTTTACTAATTTCTGAAATATGTATGCATTTATGCTATATTATATTGTTCAATTTGACTTTAATTTAATTATTCGTTTTAGGGACCCAGGCAAATGTATATAGAAACAGTGGTGTATACGCAGTCATTCAACTGTTCATAAATATCTGAAGTAGTCTATTTCCACCACAATCTTTAAGAAACCTTGCATATTTTTTAGGCCAACTTTGTGCCCTGCTGCACACACACCTGTTCATTTGAGAAAGGGAATTTTCATGATAAAGCAAGTTCATTTCACACAAAAAATGTTAATTCGGTACATTTTTTGTGAACATGTATTGAGCTAAAAGACATGCTTTTAATGAATTACTGCAAATTAATAAGCACACTTACAATTGTTTCCTATAACTTCTTAACAGACAACAGTTGCAGTGGGACAGTATTGGGCAGGGTGGAGTTATTATAATACTCCATCTGTTCTTAGAGGCTTGCTCTGAATTTGTGTATGACCTGTAGTCACCTCTCTTGTGGTATCTAGGAAACGGGGGCTGTAGGCCCATTTCTGTTGTAGTGCTTGCATTAAATAATTCCATTATGGAGTGAGTGTTGTCTTTTGAATTTAAATTTACCACTCTTCACTCCCATACTTATTCATATCCATAGCTGTTTATTTTGATATGGGAAGCTGGAATTCATCCTGGATTGTTTGTGACTAGCACAGTTTGAAATTTGTGGAGTAGAAGAGGCTTGTTTTATTTCTCAACCAGGAAGTGTCATTTCCTGTTCCATCAACCTCTTGATGGAGAGACAGTAAAATACTTGTGAGGGTATCATACACTATAAATGTGTATCTGTTTTAGTCTGGTGTTATCTGGTTCTCCTTTAGGTTCCAGAAATGTAGCCCTTTCTTGCTAAGCAAACACAGGTCACTGTATGAATGAAACTAACCAGGAAGTAAAAAGATACTGTGTTGAACTGGACTGCTGTGAGGAGAAACCGGCAAAACTGCTTTGTCACTGTAGCAAGCACAAAGTCTTGAACAGAACCTGGTGCTTGAATTTTCCCAGGTGGCCACTGTTAAAATGACTGCTAATGAAGAAGGTGGCATGCTTTTAAAACGTACTCAGAACTGATCACCTTCTCTAATGGGGGAAATATTTCTGATTTCACTTATCTACTTGAAGGTTAACATGGATTTAGGTGTTAAAACGGTATTTCCTCTTAAAACTACTAAATTACACTGGAATCACTTTTTAAGTGACTCACTACAGGGTTATTAAGGCGTTGTAATTATCTTGATTTTCGCCCCTGCTCCAGCCCGCCAAACCTTGGTGAGATCATCTTGCTTGTTATTTAAAAAGTGCTGACATGTGAATTAATTCACAGTGGTTGTGACCTGTGTGTATCATTTCCTTGACTTTTGTTTTTCCCCTATGTTATGCTGGTCATAATTTGTAAAAATACTGACAAAAGCTTGCTTCTTTAACAAAAAAAAGAAAACGGATCTCTATGTACAATTATTTCAGAAAACTCTTTCAAGCAGAATATAACCATTCCTATTGCACAGGGCGAAAATAAAGGATATGTCTGTTAGTGTGTTGGGGAAAGGAAGGCATAGAATTAGACATGGTTGGCATGTGGTTTTGTCTTTTAATATATGGGCCTATACAGGACTTATTAATGGACATTGAAATTACTGAATTTGTTTGAAAAAAAGACATAAAGAAAAGGAGGAGGTAACCTCTCAATATTTTAAGTGCCAATATTTGATTTTTTGTAGCAACAGGCCAAACCTGCTTTGTAGAAGTGTCCATCCTGCGCAGTCTTGCGATCAATGAGTTATACAGTATACTGTATATGGGAGTGTCTGCCCTGATTGGTCAAAGTCAAAATATTTCTTGAAACGACCTGTCTTAACAGGTGTTCTTGTTTCTGGAGGCAAGGAAACACTCTGCATGCATAACAGGACATTGTTTCTGGAAACATATTGCCTTGTATGTTCTTGGCTTAACAGTGTAGGACACTTACTGATCATCTGTGACAGAGCTGTGACCCTGTGATGCACAGTGTGGTGTATTTGGCAGCAGAGTCTAGGACATTAGGACGGATTAACATTTTTCCTCATACAGGGGGTGGGTCTTCCAGGTCTTGGCTCAGGTCCTTTGATTGTATGTTAAACAGTTGGAAAAGGAAGACATGGGACAAATGGTGAAAGTCCCCAGGTGCACACTCTCCTTGTCTACAGATGAGCCCAGAGATCCCAGCTTCACTTGATGTGACATGAACTGAGCAAGTGATTGTTTCCTCTGCTGGTTTGTTTTTTGTTTTGGCGAAATAAAATGGCACAAAAAAGTAAATCCTGCAGACTGTGATGTGTGATCTCAATTTCAGAGCAGTAGTGTTTCAAGCTTTTGTTTCTTTTTAGGCTTCTGAAGTACAGTGATGTGCTTTATTTTAATGTTGGATTGTGTTCATTATGATGATTAGGTGTTTAGAATGTAGGGTTCATGGACCAGCCACTTGTCTGGTCAAGGAAGGTTTCACAGATAAGTCACTTACACCTTACTGTCTCTTGTCAAAGGGACTGAGAGGTGCATACAAGTCAATTAAGAACCTGCTGAGTTAAGCTGCAAATCTGAAACTGCATACTGAGTGGTGAAAGGCTCACAGTGGAGTAAAAAGCAAGCTGTGAGAGTTTGCCAGATTTGAGGATGACACCTTTGCAGCGAGTTTCATGCTTTGCGGTGTACCCTGCTTCTTTTGTTTTCCCTGAGCACCTCAGCAGTGAAGCTCTGAGAGATGGCAGTGTGCATTACACATAGTTTGATTTCAGTGGCAGCCTGGTAAGTCAAAAAAATTGACTAATAATTTTATTGAATCTAGAGACCTGCTGCAACTTATCCTTTATTAATGCAAAGAATGGGAGGATTAGAATCCTAGTTTTCTACTGTAAAAGCTTTTTAAAATTTAAAATGTTAATTTTCAGCAGGAAAGGTATAATCCTTTTTCTGCTATCAGTCTGTTTGAATTCATTATTAATGTAAGAAGGTACCCTGTTTTTTCTCCTTTGTAGTTTCTCCCTAGTAGGTACCTGAAAATGTGCTTCTTGACAGTCCAGTAGACTGGAATTAAAACACGTTCTGTTGGTTTAGAAGAATTCAGAGGAATGCAGAAATGAGCAGAGCAGTAGCAGAAATGTACATTTTAAATATAAGATATAAAATATTGAGCTTGAAGTTACTGTACTGATGAAATAGAAGTTTGTTAACATCATTTTCATTTTTGCACACTATAAGGAAGCAATAAAAAAGGCAATTATGTTAGGATATGTAGTTATTTGTTTTATTTAAATCAATGGATGTTCTGCTAAAATTCACTACCAAGACCTCTTTTACAATATTATGTATGATTTTGGTCACAGCAATACACAAAAGTTATTTTTGGTCTGGGATGAGTCCGGAGAAGAGTGGCAATTTCTTGAAGGAATGTCCTAACCTGACAGGGTAGGAAAAACTAAATATTTTTAGATTTGAAAAAGACTAAGAGGAGTCCTATTGTAAGTATTCAACATCTTTAAAGGCACAGACAGCACGCTGGATGTCTTTAGAATTGATACTGAAAGGATGGTGACAGAATCCTGTATTAGTGAAACACAAAATACAGGAAATTATGCAGAAGTACTTTTTAAACTGAGAACAGGAGGTACTTTTTTGCACAGAGCATTTGTGAGTCAGAAACTGATTTCCAGATACATTGTTTAAGCTGGTACCTTGGCTTTTTTTAAGATATGCCTGAATGAGTTCCTTGAATCAATAAGCTGCTACTAATTGAAAGACCTAGACTGGCCAAATGGCATCATCTTGTTTGTAACCTGTACTTATGTAATACATTGTGGTTTTATTGCATAATACTTTAAGTTATTGTCTGAAAATGATCCTTTAGAACAAATGAAAAGGTGAATTTAAGCTTTTTAATATGACTGATCGACAGGTGTACATGGGGCACTACCTTTAGTTAGATCCTGAATTTCATTGTCTTGAATTGAACTCAAGTGGCTGGAATCATTTTTTTGTGGTTTGTAGCAATGGGTAGCAACACAGTGGCACAGCAGGTAGAACTGGTGCCTCATAGTGCTGGGGTCCTGGGTTCAATTCCGGACCTGGGGTGCTCTCTACATGGAGTTTGTGCTGTATGTTCTCCCTGAGTGCTCTGGTTTCCTCCCAAAGTCCAAACACATACTGTTTGATTAATTGGCTTCTGGAGAATCTGTCCCTGGAGTGAGTGTTGTGTCTGTTTGTGACCTGCAAACAGGTGGACAGGTGTCCCATCCAGGGTCTATGCTGCCTTTTGCCAGTTGCTAGCTAAACTCCCCTATGACTTTGAATGGGATAAAGGGGTTAGAAAATAGATTGGTAAAGCAGAGGGATTCTTTGATCTTAAAATGTGTCACTATCTTTGTCCTTATGCTGCCTTTATAGTAATATTGATTGTAAGTTCTTTCTTTGAGACAACTTGTCAGAAGTGAATGAAATGAAATCTCTTAAACTAGAGCAAGCCTTGAAGCTTTAAATAGAAAATTTATATCAGTCCCTTACATCATATGTAATTCTTTTTTGCAAGATGAAGTGTTCAGGTTCATATTTACGATCACAAGATAGTAAATGTAGACAATTCACTGAAAAG